TATTTTCCAACCAAACATGTTTCCTTAAACTATGCTAATCATTACCTTAATATATATAAAAACATACTTTTTTTTTGTTTTTTTTTATTTTTAGAAAGCCATTTTTATCGAAAAAATATTTTAAATATATCAAAATTCATAATTTTTTATTCTCTATAAATAGACATCCATATTGATATAGTTTTAAGATAAAATAAAAAATTTATTTTTTTTAGAGTTTCAGCTCTCGTTATTTATAAGTGAATAAAAATATATCAAATTTTTATTACAGTACATTCGTTATTCACTTATGAATAAAACGTATGCTTAATTTTTTTTTTATAGTTTAAGTATCGTTCATATATGAATATGACACGTAATAAAGTTTTTCTTACTTAAAATATATTTTTTTACATCATCTTTCGTCATATATTATATTTATATATGAATAAAATGTGTATTAGTTCTCGTCATATTTTATATTCATATATGAATAAAACATTTATCAGATTTTTGTTACAGTTAATTTGTTATTCATATATGAATAAGTAGTATAAATGATACTTAAACTGTAAAAAAATTAATTATATATTTTTATTCATAAGTGAATAACGAATGTACTGTAGCAAAAATCTTATGCATTTTTATTCACTTATGAATAACGATAGCTGAAAATATAAAAAAAAATTATTTTATCTTAAAAGTATATCAATATGGATGTCTATTTGTAAAGAATAAAAAATCATGAATTTTGGTATATTTAAAATCATTTTTCGATAAAAATAGCTTCTTAAAAATTAAAAAAACGAAAAAAACTATGTTTTTGTATATATTAAGGTAATGATTAGCATAGTTTAAGGAAACATGTTTTGTTGGAAACACATGTGTATTCTTTATCCATTTCCGCTGGTACAACGAAGTCTTTTGCGGCAAAAATAAATGAGTGACTGAGAATGATTCCTCCATTCTCAACCTTTTTTATTTTCTCAATTGAACTTACCTTTCTTTCTCTCTCTCTCTCTCTATATATATATATATATATATATATATATATATATATATATATATATATTCACACAGTAATTTAATTTACATTATTATTAATTAAATTTGTCTTTTGAAAAAAATATCTTTTGAAAAGATTTTAACAATTCAACTAAAAACCTAATTTCAACATGTCAATTGATTTCAAGTTTCAACAACAATTAATAACCAGTTACTAACCATAAGTCCTTAATTACAAAATGTCTAGATTGTAGTTATAAATTATATGCATTTCATGGAGAAATCATAAAACATCTATTTCATTTTTGTCTTATACTTTAACTTCTATTTTTAATAATAACTACAAACTTTTCTAATAAGAAGTAACTATTTTCAAGATTCAACAAAAAACTTGATTTTAATAACAAAAAACAAGTAATAACTAAGTGCTAACCTTAATCAAACAAATCTAATTGCTAATTTCTAGTTTTTTTTAAGTTTTCAAGAAAATAAAAAATAATTGAAATAACTTTAAAAAGTTGCTTAAATCTTGTTTAAGGTGGAAAGGGTGGTTATGACAAAATTGCAAAAATGGTCTCTGTGGTTTGCCAATTTCTTTGGGTAAAGTCTAAAAAAAAGTTTATTAGCAAAAAATGTCCTTATTTGGTGGTTTAGCTGTGGTTTTGGTTCCTATTTCGTTAACTTTAACATTTGGCTGTTAATTTTTTTAAAATGACAATTTTACCCTCAGGGACTATTTTTGCAGTTATCTCTTTTTACCAAATTACAAGGACCATTTCTGCAATTCTTCTTTTTAAATTTATTAAATTATTATATATTAATTCTTCTTTCTTTTTAATTTTATTGAACTATTATACATTAATTTTTTTTAATTTTTTATTGGATTAATTTTTTTATCTGATTATTATATATCAGTTAATTTTATTTTTAATATATAATATTTATATATTAATAAACATTATATTAGTATATTATTAATTTCTTTTAACTATTTTTAATTTTTTCATTGGATTATTTTATTTTAAAAAATTATTAGATTTTTTATTGGATTATTACATTTAATTTATTATATGCTATATATAATAAATAATATTTTAGTGGATCATTAATTTTTTTTAAATGTATAATATTAATTCTTTTTAATTTATTGGTTCTACCACAAAGTCTTCGGAATACGCAAAAGCACCGCATCCCATTGTCGAAAATCGTCGGGACCACCGCAAATCACCTTCATTGGAGGTCCGACGGAAACACTACCAACCTGTTTCACCCAATGCCGCTATCCAGTAGCCACCTGCGACAACCTCTTCACAATCTGTCAGAATCCTTTATATTTTCCACTAAGTCAATCGTTTTCCACTAGAACCATTACTATTTAAACCACCAAGAAGTCCAACCCAAACACCCCTGTCAATTCCTCCATTTGTTGCCTTTTACCAGCTTACGCCACAACTACCTGGTCAGTTCCTCCATTCGTTGCCTTCTACAACCCATGCACAACCTTATAACATCGAAGCTTCAAGCCTGCACTACCTGAAAAGATCTAGCAGTGGATCTGGTGGTTTGAAAACCATATATCTAACATTGTCGCCATTAATGGCAGTGTGAGTAGTCAATTGGTGTAGTTTTGGTTGAGAATGACGGATTATAAGCAATGATGGACGATTTCCGACAAGATGATGTGGCGGCGCTAGGTGGTAGAAAGCAACGAATGGAGGAACTGATCAGGGGTGTTTGGATCGGACCTCCTAGTGGTTAACACAATATTGGTTGTAACAGAAAAAGTCCGACTTAACACATTATTGGTTGCCACTAAGTCGGTCGTTTTTTTGTTCCAATCAATACTGTGTTAAGGAGGTCTGATCCAAACACCCCTGGTCAGTTCCTCCATTCGTTTCTTTCTACTACATTGCGTCACCACATCATCTTGTCGGAAATCGTCGATCGTTGCCTACAATCCGTCATTCTCAACCAAAACTACACCAATTGACTATCCACACTGCCGTCAATTGCGACAATGTTAGATATTGGGTTTTTCAAACCACCAGATCCACTGCTAAATCTTTTCAGGTAGTGCAGGCTTGAAGCTTTGATGTTATAAGGTTGCACATGGGTTGTGGAAGGCAACGAATGAAGGAACTGACCAGGTAGTATGATTTTGTGGCGTAAGCTGGTAAAATGCAACAAATGGAGGAACTGACAGGGGTGTTTGGGCTGGACTTCTTGGTGGTTCAAACAGTGATGGTTCTAGTGGAAAACGATCGGCTTAGTGGCAAATATAAAGGATTCTGACGGATTGTGAAGAGGTTGTCGCAGGTAGTTACTGGATAGCGGCGTTGGGTGAAACAGGTTGGTAGTGTTTCCGTCGGACCTCCAATGAAGGTGATTAGCGGTGGTCCCGACGATTTTCGACAATGGGATGCGGTGCTTTTGCGTATTCCGAAGGCTTTGTGGTAGAACCAATAAATTAAAAAGAATTAATATTATACATTTAAAAAAAATTAGTGATCCACTAAAATATTATTTATTATATATAGCATATAATAAATTAAATGTAATAATCCAATAAAAAATCTAATAATTTTTTTAAAATAAAATAATCCAATAAAAAAATTTTAAAAAATAGTTAAAAGAAATTAATAATATACTAATATAATATTTATTAAAATTTTGAGTTGTTACATGTTGTGAGTGAGTGATGGTGGTGGTGTTGTCCAAAATATGTTATCTTCCAAATATTTAAAATAAATTAGAGAATGTAGGGTGGGTGAGATTTTTTGGTATTTTTATTTGAAACAATAAAGAAAGAAATTAAAAAAATAAAAACAATTAGAAAATATTATTTATTATAAATAAAAATAATAAATTTAAATTAATAATCCAATAAAAAGAACTAATGCAATAAAAAAATTAAAAAAAAAATAAAATTAATAATCCAATAAAGTAACACTTACTAATAGATAAATATTATATGCTAAAAATAATATTTGTTAATATATAATAATCCAATAAAAAAGAACTAATGCAATAAAGAAGAAATTAAAAAAAAAATCAATTAAAAAAAATTAATAATAAAAAAGTAATATTTATTAATATATAAATATTATTAAAAATAATATTTATTAATATATAATAATTCAATAAAAAAATAATACAATAAGAAAAAAGTTAAAAAGAAAAAAGTAATTAAAATAATTAATATATAATAATTCAATAAAATGAAAAAGAAAAACTGCATAATTGGTCCTTGTAGTTTGGTAAAAAGATAAAATTGCAGAAATGGTCACATGGGTAAATCCGTCATTTGCCAAAAGTTAACAGCCGTGCTGTTAAACTTAACGAGGTTGATACCAAAACCGCAACAAAACCATAAAATAGAGACCTTTTTTGCTAGTAAACTTGTTTTTGAACCTTATCCATAGAAATCAACAAACCACAAGAGACCATTTTTGCAATTTTGTCGGTGGTTATTAACCACAAGTTTCTAATTGAATAAACTTAATTGCTAATTTTAAGTAGGTGGAAAGGGTGGTTATTAACCTAAAAATATTTCATTACTTTAAAAAGTTTGGGCTACTTTGTGTTTGAGTTTATAAACCCAATTTTTTTTAGCGATATCCCAAATATTTTTGAAGGGTAGAACCATAATATAAAAACAAAATTTAAGAAATTTTTTATCATATTGAACGAAATTTGAGGGGTAACATATACTGACCCATGTTCCATGTAGCTTCGCCTATGGTTAAATGTACAAAAAAACGAATAATTGGTGATTATTACTTGCAACAAAAACATGTTTGTCATCTGATCATGCACAAAAAATAGGTTGATTGTAGCTCGTTTTCTGCAGTGAAATGGAAAAAACACGGATGTATGACCTTTTGTCTTACGCGATTTACAGAGTTATTTTTAGAGATCATATGATCATTTTGTTAAGTCCAAATAATAAATGTGAAAACCACATATAATAACCCAATATATATAATATTTTAGTCAATGATTAATCATGAATTGTTGGTTAAACTTTTCTTCGATGTTAAGCTTTTTACGTGATCCTGCACCCCTATATCCCCTTATATCGTTAAAGTTTATACGTTTCCTAAAAATAACGGGAAAAGAAGAAAGTTCCATTTTGTTAGCCCACCTTACGACTGACGAGCTCGATTCTTTGTGTTGGGCTCCTGGTTTACCTGAATTTACGATCTTCATTCTTCACCGAGAAGCAAAGGTGAAAAACAGCAACCAATATCCAGTTACCCACCGCTACAGTGAAAAATTCTTTACAATTTTCAAATACCCTAATCGGTTTTTCATATATATGAATTTGGTTTCGGATCTTGGCCTTTTTCCATTTCTTCTCTGTCGAATTTCGCCATAGTAGGTTTAATTATCATAAGAGAAAGCGGGATCGGTCTGTAGCTTGTGTGCAATCGATCTTGGATGTTAATCTTTGCTGATAACTCCAACGTTTCTGAAAAATTTAGTCGCGGATCTTTCGGGAAGATATTGACTGCTCTTTGGGTCGATTTTCACTTTCAGGGATTGAGATAAGTTTGACTAAAAAAGAAGAAAGGGGATGGGAGGTTCGAAGACGGAAGGGGCAACCTCTTCCTCAACCCCTTTAATTACAAATCGTAGAGACCCGTATGAGGTTTTAAATGTTTCAAGAGATGCTTCTGATCAGGAGATTAAATCTGCTTACAGAAAACTTGCTCTCAAGTAAGTTCATACATCCTCTTTCATTTTCTTACCTTCCTTTTAGTTCTAGCTTATGCTATCAACTGTTTTTGAAGTTCTTAAAATTTGTAATTCAGATTGTACAGTCGATTGATAATTATGTGGAATTCAGTTTGAATTTGTATCTGGCTATTGATAACATTAGATTATGCGTGGAAATGTTGTTAATATCGATTCCCTTGTATACAGATATCATCCTGACAAAAACGCTAGTAATCCCGAAGCCTCAGAACTATTCAAGGAGGTTGCCTATTCTTACAGCATTTTATCCGATCCAGAAAAAAGAAGGCAATATGATAATGCAGGATTTGAGGTCTTGATTCCATTTCTTCACAATTTATTCCGCAAAAACTGTTTGTTTACTTACAATACAAAGCGTAATCTGTGAATTGTATAGGCTATTGATGCTGAAGGAATGGACATGGAAATTGATCTATCAAACCTTGGAACTGTGAATACAATGTTTGCAGCTTTATTCAGGTAAGTTTTATCAAAACCCTATGGATTTTGATCAAATTCATTTTTCATTTCTTTTTTCTTTTTTTCCCTTTTTCAAGTAAGCTAGGAGTCCCTATTAAGACAACGATTTCAGCCAATGTTCTTGAAGAAGCTTTAAATGGGACAGTTACAGTTAGACCTCTTCCAATAGGAACATCAGTTAGTGGAAAGGTGTGTATGTATTTGGTGTTACAAATTTTTACTTTTTAGCAACTTTGGTAGCTTATTTAAGTCAAAATTCAGGTAGAAAAACAATGTGCTCATTTTTTTGGTGTTACAATAAGCGAGGAACAAGCTCAATCAGGGATAGTTGTTAGAGTTTCTTCAGCTGCACAAAGCAAATTTAAGGTACTTGGAACTTTTGAAGTATTTTTTTTATGCAAATGTTATCATATTATTTTAGTAGAATACTAGAATGTTAATCTTTATGTAAAATCTAATATTGCAGCTGCTTTATTTTGAGCAAGATAATGGTGGTGGCTATAGTCTGGCATTGCAGGTACATCACTCTATATTATGTTGGATTGTTTCAGGTTTTTTAAATTTAACATTTCTTGATAATTAACAATCAACATTGTATCCCAATAATTACCCTATTAGCCTTTCCTTTTTCCATTATGACAAAACCCAAATTCATACTCCAAACATGAAGTTAGGGTTCAAGAACAGATTAGTGAATTTGGTATTTTGATCTTCAATTACTAAGAAGGTAGGAAGTTGTTTAGTGGTTAATTAATCACTACTCCATTGTCTTTGATCACTATTTCAATCACATTGACTTTGCAAGTGATTTCCCCTAATGCCCCTCCTATATTTACCCCTACATGCCATTGGACCTATTTATCATAAAAACCCTTTCTTCATAAATCATAATCAGTTCCACCTTTTTAACCATCTTTCTTATTTATATTTTTCCTTGTAAATATTAACCCTTTTAAATCATTACTAGATAACTAAATAATAACATTAGTCATGATGATGCAGGAAGACAGTGACAAAACCGGGAAGGTGACATCAGCAGGAATGTATTTCCTGCATTTCCAAGTTTACAGAATGGATTCCACTGTTAATGCCGTATGTTATGCATGCATCCACCAAATCTTTTAAAAATTTTGGGCAAGATTAATTAATTAATTAATTAATTAATTAATTAAGGGTTTAAATTTGAGTTGCAGTTAGCAATGGCGAAGGACCCTGAAGCCGCTTTCTTTAAAAGATTGGAAGGTCTTCAACCGTGCGAGGTCTCGGAACTAAAATCCGGAACTCACATATTTGCCGTTTATGGTCAGAAGCTTTAATTTTTAATTTTATATTTGGTAAATTTGTAAAATGGAAAAAAGAATGTTTATACAGAATTTCAATTTCGTCTGCTTTCAGGAGATAATTTTTTCAAAACCGCATCGTATACAATAGAGGCCATTTGTGCCACAACATACCAAGACACAACTGTTAAACTCAAGGACATTGAGCAGCAAATTTTAAGAAAAAGAACCGAGTTACGCCACTTTGAGACTGAGTACAGACAGGTACGTACCTATATTAATATATTAATATATATATATATATATATATATATATATATATATATATATATACAATAATCTAATATCTTTATCTTTATAAATAATAAGTGTTTGGTTTTTTCAGGCTTTGCAACGATATCAAGAAGTCACCAACCGATACACCCAGGAAAAGCAAAATGTATATTGTTTTTTTACAATAAATTACATTTTTGGTCCCTAACTATATCTGATTTTTTCAATTTTGGTCGCCATGTAACGTTTTTGGTCCCCCATGTTCATGAAAAAATAGTCATTTAGTTGGAAAAGTGACCAAAATTGACAAAACCAGGTTATCCATGTAATTAATTAATATGTTAATATGAATGATATTTACAGGTGGATGAGCTTTTAAAACAACGAGACAGTATCCAATCATCATTTACAGTAGGCAGATCGGTGGTTTTAGGAGGTGGTAGCAGTCAATTTAGTAGCAATGGAACAGGAAGTAGTAAAGTTAGTGGTGGTGAAGGTGAAACCAGCAGCAGTCCAGTTGATGAAGAAGATGGAAGGAGTTATAATAATAATAACAAGAAGAAATGGTTTAATCTCAACCTCAAAACCTCATCCTCCTCTGATAAGAAAACCACCAGTTGATTCTTTTTTTTTTTTTTTTTTTAAAAAAATTTGTGATTGGTGCTTTTTCATACGTTTATTCATGTCCATAATGGGTTGTTGTTAATCATCAATATTTGTTATCAGATCGAAATTGTTTACTACAGATTTGGATCTTTTAGTATTCTATTCTCCTTTGTTTATGTTTATGTCGTAAAACCAGGGTATTTGGTGCTGGTATAATTCTTATATGCTAGAATTACTTGTTAAAATGCATTCCAATGGCGTAATAATAACACATAAAATAGTTTAGTGACCTATGGAATACAATTAGAATTAAAAGATAAATAGCTTAAAAAGCAAATTGGATATTATCGGTTGTCATTTTATCACATTAAGCTAGGGGTGAACATTTTTGATAAAACTGGACCCGCTCTTGGACCAGATCAGTTTGATAAAAATTGGTGGACCTTGGACCGGACCGGACTGGTTGAGGCCAGTCTAGGTCCGTGTTTTCCAGTTTTTGTACGTTGGACTTAAACAACTTTATGTGCATGTGATACAACTCATTGAAGTCTACCAAAAGTTTGAACCGGACCTGTTCTGTAGAAGTTGGTGGATTTGGTGCAGGTTCGGTTCAAGTCAAGTTCTCGATCTGGTCTAGAGGTCCAAAACTTCAAATGCTCACCCCTAGATTAAGCTTTAATTAATTAATTGTTTTTTTTTTATTTTTTTTTATTTTTTTTATGGAGATTGTTATTTATTTTTAGGACATAATATATAAATGCCTTATGTTTTTAGTTTCGTCAACAAAAGTTACCAAGGTTTTGAAGATTTTATATGAGAAATCACTTTGACATGTTAAATTATTAGTAATTAGTTGTGAGACCCATGTATTATATGAGTTTATTCAAAAAAATAAAATAAACAAACATAAAGATCTAACAATATAGAAAATTTAAATTTATAAAAAAAAGAAAAATATTTAATTATTAAAATTGAAGTGCTTATTTATCTTTTAAATTTAAACTAATAATTTAAGTAAATAAACAACTAAAATAATTAGATTCAATTTAGAAATTTAGAAATTATAAAGAAAGTTGTATTAATGAATTGGATACACATTTATTACATTTAAGTATTATATGAAATTTAATAAAATGAAAAAAACCATAAAATAACAGGTGAATATAATTTAATTTAAAGTTACTGCAAAATGACATGTGATATAATGCATAAAATGATGACAAGTGGCAAAATTATTTTCATTTATTAGGTAGGATAGAAAATCGTTAAAATTTATCGATGAATACTTGGGACTAGATTTTAGTAAAATTATTTTAACTTTGACAAAAAAATTGTTGTAAAGTGGTCGGCATTATGAAATTTCAATGATTTTTGATGATAAAGCTGAAATATAGTTGTAAAGCTGAAATATAATGATCTAAACAGTTTTATGTAATTTGCCCTTTCTTATATAAATTTTAAACTTGATTTTGTCGACCCCAACACTTTGTGAGTTTATTTTTACTTCTTGCCAATGCCAACCTCAACTGGATAAATCCCAATTCAGTCCCGAATTAGATATTAACATTCATCTTCTACGTCCTAAACACAAGTTTAAAGATTAAAATGTAATTTAGAAAACTTTTAATTTAAATTAAAAATAAAAGTGAGGTTAACTTAAAAATGTCCAAAAGTGGGAAAGAGGCGTAGTTGACTCAACCATTTGGTAGTTTTGACTTGATAAAGAAAAGAAACAGGTTTTGTGGATGTGAATCAATAAAATCCCAGAATTTAGTGGTAGCTGACTAATATTTATATTTAAATAACTGTAATTATTGTCAACTTTTCCCAGGTATCGCTCTAAATTATACAATCTATTTTCACTAAAATATTATGCTAGCAAACCATTTTCCTTTTCATCGTAATATTTATTTTTTATAATGACATTTTTAACATGAAAGTTGGGGTTGATCAATGATCACTAAAATTCCAATAATGGGGCGTGTAATCATAATCATACATATTCATTACAAAATAATTATTTATTTTATGAAAACAGTGTTTTCAAAGTTATTTTAATTTGCACAACCGCATTTCTAACAAAAAAATTATTTTGCAATCATTTGCCAAAAACTTTAATTACGCAAAACAATTTTTGTAACCATACCGAGAATATTTGTTAGTTTTAGGTTTTACAAATAGTTTGCGAGATTTCATATTCTCGCAAAATATCCAAGTTTTCGTTATATAAGAAGATGTAGTTTTACACAGAAATCATAAAACCACTATTTCCATTACATAATGTACTCCAAAGTTTTTCCCTCTTCAAACAAACTCTTTCATAAGGGTAAATGACCAATCAAAGAAGACCTGATTGGGTCTAGAGATATTTGGTAAAAGATTATCATCGATGATACATGATGTAATACCTATAATACCCACTGTAAAAATAGTTTTAAATAACATATAAACGTTAGTTATATAGTAATTACAATTTAGTGGTATAACTAGTGACAAGTCTAGAATAGAAAATCAAGTGGTTCATCAACCGGATAAAATCAAGTCGGTTCAAGAACAAACCGGATTCATCCCGACCGGTTCAATCATAAAAATAATCAGTTTATCATGTATAAAAATTGTTGTTGAAATGATTGAGATCAAATCAGTCACTCTTTAATTATTATTGTTTTTTATTAAAACCAACTTATAGGTGGAGTAAGCCGGTCTAAACGAGGCCTCAACAAACTTCATGGTGTGTAATTGTGAAAGATAAAACATCTATTTGTAAAGGAAAACTATCAATGACGTTCTTCTAGAAGTCTGATGTGAGACTTTGTAATGCCACCAAATATGACGTCTCTTCTATTTTCTATAGTTATACCTTTTTTTTTCATTCATTTTTTTGTCCAATATAATAAGATAGGTCCTTCAAAATATTGAAGGTAGGTCATAAATTCTTTTTGTATATAACCACTTACAAAAAATTGAATTTAGGTGGGTTCACACTCTAAACTCGGTATAACTACGATCAATAGTAGTCAAACTTTTCATTAAACTGATCGATAAAATTTTAAATCGTATAAGGAAATATTAAAAAGTAACAAAGATAGAGATAAATGTCTAATGCTACTTCAACCCAAAATCACCTATATCTCCCTTGTCGTATTTTCCTTATCAAACACTTATTCTTCACCTAGCATAAGTCAAAACAAATAGAAAACATTAGACATGAAAATGCCTAGGAGATGCACATTAATCATTATGATAAAATAAATACCCATCATCTTCATTGTCTTCCTTAACAACCAACTATTTCCATTTAGTATGCATCAACAAATGCCAATCATTTGATGAGAAAAACTTTACCATGTGGTTGAGTAAAATCCCAATGGTTCTTGAAACCTTGGATTACAACATGCTATAAATCATCTCTCAAGGTCCACACATCCCAATGAGTCAGATCATAGAAGAAGGTGTCCTAACAAGAACAGTTAGAGTTTTAATAAATCAATGGACAAAAGACCACAAACAGAAGGTAAATCTTGATGTACAAGCAAAGGGTCCCATCTCAAATGCCTTTCCATATGATTTCTATCATATGGTTGAAAACCGTACTTCAACCAAAGATATGCTTGATATGCTGAAGATAGCTTATAATGGGACAAATGAGGTTAGGGCAAACCAGGAAAACAACCTTAACCAAATGTATGCATACTTCTTTGCCGACAAGAATGAATCACTAACACATAACTTTAACAAATTTAATTTTTTTGAGGAAGTTTAAAATTAATAAGTCTAATTCTGTGTTAGTCTTAAAGTTTCTCAACTCAATTGATGAAAGCTGGGAACATCATGTTGATGTTCTCAAGAATAATGAGAATATAAAAACTATAGATCTGTAGAGTATCTTTGGAAATATAAAAAACTTATGAACAAACTAAGGCTTATAAAACATCATAAACATGAAGGATTATCACAAGGAGAAATATGTTGCCCTTCTTTTAAGAAACAAGAAATTTGTTGATGCACCTTTTAATGAAGAAGATATCCAATTTGACACTGATGATGAAGATGAAGAATAATTCTCTTAACTCTCTAAATTAGCCTCTCAATTTGTCATCATTGTGAATCAATTCAACAACTTTAAGAATTTTGGAAAATTCATGCTAGGACAAAAGAAGTTTAATGTTGGTCTAAGGAAAACTGAAGTTGAAGTAACCTTTTGCATTGATAGACTTTGTTTCTACCGATAAATGATTTAAGTGTAGTGAGATTGAGAATTTTGCTAAAGATTGTAAGGGTAAGAAGACTTACAAAAAGACTCATATGAGGCAAAGTACAAAAGATTAGTTGCCTCGTCGAAAAGGCAAAATATAGGGTCAAAGGTCTTATTGATTGAAAAAGAAAATTGGGAAGCTAAAGAGGTGTCATCTGATGATGAAAAGGTGGAAAGAAAAGACACACATTTGACGGCTAATGCAGAATATTCAAGTTGTAGTAGCAGGTCAAGCACTTTTGAAGTTGATCTTGCTTAAGTTGTCACGTATAACTCTATACTAAATTAGAGATCATTCTACCATGTATCAGGTTTCTAAATATATTAACTACTTTGACAATGGGAAAGCACTAATGTTTGATTATCTGTGTCTTGATCTTATGATATATCATTAAGAGAAACTATAGCTCAAACAAAACATGATGATATGTTCTCGGAGCTTAACATAAAATTAATTGACCTATTAAACAAGAAAACTAATTTAGCAAATCAAAAGGTGCTAAATAATATTCTTATTGATGAATGAAATAATGTTGTTAATGTCACTAATAACATCAAAAGAATCATAAAAAAACTAGATGACATCTTTTTTGGAAAAAAATTAGACCACATGTCACACTATATTTGCTAAAATAATAAATGATCAAATTTCTTTTCAAGCAACAAAAATTATTAGTGGCCAATTTAAAGAAGCAGTTGAAAATTTTGAATCTATAATAGATGAACCAAGTTTTCTTGAATCATAATAACTAGCTCATGA